ATTTGCCCAAAATTTTCTAAGTTAATCTTTGGTTTATAAATGCAGCACATATAGAACAAAGTATAATGAAAGACGGGTTAGCATTTCTTATCTCAAAATGCGCTTTGAAATTCCCCTGTGCCAAAACTTTCTGCACCAATAGGCAGCTCTGAACCATCCTAAGTCGATATATATCTAAATATTTTTTGAAGTCTATCTTTGGACGAAATTTTTCAAGAGAAACTCAGCTTAGTTGACTCAAGAATCCGGATGGCGAGTTAGCGTAGTACAAAGTATAATAAAGGACGGGTTAGCATTTTTTATGTCAAAATGCGCTTTAAAATTCCCCTATACCAAAACTTTCTGCATCAGTATGCGTTTTAAACCTTTCTGAGTCGATCTAGATCGAAAATTTTTTTTGATTTGCCCAAAATTTTCTAAGTTAATCTTTGGTTTATAAATGCAGCACATATAGAACAAAGTATAATGAAAGACGGGTTAGCATTTCTTATCTCAAAATGCGCTTTGAAATTCCACTGTGCCAAATCTTTCTGCACCAATAGGCAGCTCTGAACCATCCTAAGTCGATATATATCTAAATATTTTTTGAAGTCTATCTTTGGACGAAATTTTTCAAGAGAAACTCAGCTTAGTTGACTCAAGAATCCGGATGGCGGGTTAGCGTAGTACAAAGTATAATAAAGGACGGGTTAGCATTTTTTATGTGAATATGCGCTTTAAAATTCCCGTATACCGAAACTTTCTGCATCACCATCCGTTTTGAACCTTTCTGAGTCGATCTAGATCAAAAATGTTTTTTCGATTTACCCGAAATTTTTTAAGTCTGACTTTGGTTTATGAGCAGGTCACAACAATGTACTTTTGTTTTTAATTTTTCAAGAAATTCACGTCGTTCACTGATGGCTTAGTGGTACGTTGGTTGGGCTGTCTCAATAAACATTTGAATTCAAATCCAGTTGAACTCATGTTTTGTAGTGGACTCACAATATTGTTTTTTCCTTTAATGAAAACATTTTTTTGTTATAGATCGACTGAGAAAGGTTGAAAACGCATACTGATGCAGAATGTTTTGGCACAGGAGAATTTTAAAGCGTATTTTGAGATGATTTTCCGAGTACACGGCTTAGCATTCATTTGCATACGCCTTGTACTCAAAAAATCATCTTAAAATAAGCTTTAAAATTCTCCTGTGCCAAAACTTTCTGCATGAATATGCGTTTTGAACCTTTCTTTGTCGATCTATAACAAAAATTTTTTTTTCATTTTGGCCGAAATGAAAGACGGCTTAGCGCGGCTTAGCACGGCTTAGCATTTCTCATTTGCATACGCCTTGTCCTCAGAAAATCATCTTAAAATACGCTTTAAAATTCTCCGGCGCGAAAACTTTCTGCTTCAATATGCGTTTTGAACCTTTCTCTGGCGATCTATAACAAAATTTTTTTTTTCATTTTTCGCGAAATGAAAGACGGCTTAGCGCGGCTTAGGATGGCTTACCACGGCTTAGCATTTCTCATTTGCATACGCCTTGTACTCAGAAAATCATCTTAAAATACGCTTTAAAATTCTCCTGTGCCAAACGTTTCTGCGTCAATATGCGTTTTGAACCTTTCTCTGTCGATCTATAACAACATTTTTTTTTTCATTTTTCCCGAAATGAAAGACGGTTTAGCGCGGCTTAGCATGGCTTAGCACGGCTTAGCATTTCCATTTGCATACGCCTTGTCCTCAGAAAATCATCTTAAAATACGCTTTAAAATTCTCCTGTGCCAAAACGTTCTGCATCAATATGCGTTTTGAACCTTTCTCAGTCGATATATAACAAAAAGTTTTTTTTTCATTTTGCCCGAAATGAGATTCACCTAAGATGAGCAGGTCACAACAATGTACTTGTGTTTTTAATTTCAGCAGAATTACAAGTCGTCCTCTGATGGCTTAGTGGTATGTCGTTTGGCCTGTCTAGATAAACATTTGAGTTCAAATCCAGTTGAACTCAACAGGTGGGAAATTTGTCGTCGCTGACCAAACAATTGCGGGCAGAAACAAAGCTCATTGCATTTACATTCAAAACAAAGCAGAAAGTTAGCAAGAAGCTGTTTTAGCTGACGATTTTTTGCTTTCCATTCAACGATTTACAAAATATTGGTTATTCTTTTAAAAGTCGATCATGAATTCTTTGTTTTGGGATGATTGTTTTGTAATCGAGTGATTGGAAGAAGTTAATATGGCGACGTGAACATGGGATAAATACCGTATACGTCGATCTATGGCTTGTTTAAAACCGTAATAAACGAAGAAAGACGTGATTTGAGAATGAAATGTAAGTTGAAATTAACTTTATATACCTCAAATTTTCCATCCTATGTTTCTTAATGTAACTTCAGCTGTCTAAGTTCAAAATACAAGCTCGCGAAAGTTGACAAATTTTGAAAATATGTAAAAATAGCTTGACTTTGAACTGTATTTTCTCAAAAATAGCCCGTGGCCTCAATTTCAAATATAGCTAAATGAAAAGAAAAACTTTTCGGCGTTTGTAGGTATCAAACATATCGTCAGGAAAATAGGGGCTCACAATGTTTTAGTTCAGTCTTTGAGACCCAGTTGCTTCGCACGTGTTGTGGTCAAATTTTTGCCAAGAATCAAAGGCCGAAATGTGAACTTCCTTCATGAAAACCGCTTCGAGAAGGGTCTGGTTTGAAAATTTAGCTATTAATTTCGATTTCATGAGCATATTTTGGTTACACGTTAAGTATTTTTGTGCTTGATGAGATTCAAAATTTGTTGTATATTCAAGCCCGGCTTTTGTGTAATTTTGGTGATGACCGGAACAGAAATAAAGATATTTTAAAAACTGGCCGTGGCCTCACGATAAAACTTTCTACAAATGTTCTCTATTTCATGTACTTTTATTAGATATCTTAGGTATAAGCGTAAAAATAGGGGCTCATACAGTTTAAGAGGTTGTAAAATGAATGACTTGCCTCTATTTTCATGTAAACATTCGAAATTCTTCGACAGCAAAGTAGCAACTGTTTCAGATCGAATGCACACGGACAGCCCACCAGAGACAATGGCAGGGTACTGAAATAGAACGTCACTAAAAAATTCTGTATGATTAATTTAGATCATGTCTACTCTTTCAACATAAAACAGTCATTTATTTTGTACAAACATTTGGCAATATTTACACGATTGTGCCTTTTTGTAAACACGCGTTGCGTGTATTCCACGCCATTGCGTGGTTCATTTTACTCGCGCATGCTCAGACAAATTTCCCACCTGTTCCCTATACACCTTTTTCACCCCGAAAAACCCCAAAACTATTGAAATAACGCATTGTTAGAATTTGAAGGCCCTATAGCACTAAGCTGAATGCAAGGATGCGTAAAACATTGACAGGGTGCAAATATTATAAATATTGACTTAGGCCCGTTTCATACGCCGTACTTCACATGTGCCGAATACATTAAAAACAATAGATAATGAGGCATTTCAGCTCATTATCTATTGTCTTCAATGTATTCGGCACATGTGAAGTACGGCGTATGAAACAGGCCTTATTATTAAGAATTTTTCTGTGTTGGTGTAGTGTACTCAGGTGAATATGATGCTTGTGAATTGTGATGTTACTCTCGAGTGTATATCCACACTGGGCATGCAAGCTTAAAAAATATGCCTGTCCACGGTGAAAATCGAACCTACGACCTTTGGAATACTAACTAGCCCAATGCTCTGCCAACTGAGCTGCGCGGTCAGGTCGGTTCGAGTATGTGATATTTCGGAACCGAGTCTAGTTCGTTCGATATCAATGTAATCTAATAATCATGAATTTTTCTGTGTTGGTGTAATGTACTCAGGTGAATATGATGCTTGTGATGTTACTCTGAGTGGATACACACACTGGGCAGGCTTGAAAAATGTGCCTGTCCACGGTGAAAATCGAACCTACGACCTTTGGAATACTAGCCCAATTCCAATATAAATTTGACGGACAGGGTTTTGGAGGGCTACCTTATACACAGTTATAGCTACCCGCTTTTTAAGTGTATCTGGCGGTTGAGAAATACAAAATAATAGTTATAGATATTGTCAATTAAAATACAATTATTATTGATGCTGTATAATTGGCACCACATTTATACAGCAATATAAGCAAAACTTGATGAACTTCAGACATCATTTTCTCTTTGGCGTACCATCTAAAATCTCTTCATTTTAGCATATTTTACAGAATAACTAAACATACTTTTTATGTTGTTTGCCGCTTGAGAAACGTATCAGAAATTTGAATAAAAATAGTCATAACCAAGTGGAAAAGTATATTCGTTCATTTTGAGCGCGCCACATAACATACAAAAGATTCTCCTCTTAAGGTAATTCCGCAGTAATTGTTCCCGAAATGAGAATGTACTGAAACTTCCCAGGCATGGAGTTTATGATATACTTAAAGTAAAATCACACAAAAAAGTCGGGGTCACCGAACTCGTTAAGAAGATATGACAATCACAATATACCACCTTTACCCCAATATGGCGCCATCTTGACGCTCATTACGAGTAACTCACAACAGCCCGATATTTATTGACATTTTTAGCGCGGATTTTGCTTTAGTAAACCTATCTTGTAATTATTTTGGAAAAATATTGTGTTTTGAGCAAAATGAAACTACTAATGTGTACAATTCTGATCCACAAATGTCTTTTGCACATTTCTTTACATATCTTTCTTTGAGAACATGCATTGATAAAGCATTTTTTTTAAGATCCATAAATGATTTTCTTTTAATTTCGGATATGAAATGTAAAATGCATTAAAGAAATAAATTATCAGTTAAAAAACGGGGGTCACCGATCTTTTTAGGGAATTGTGGCATTAAAACGTGAAATACAAGTAAATAAATATACTACAGACACAGGGAACCCTAGCTACACTTTTGTATGCATTTTTTGAAAACATTGATTTTAACGTAATTCTTTTGCACGAATGTAATCAAAGATGTTTTGAAGTAACATAAAATTGTCATAAAATGATATTTTCGTATACGGTACGTATAATGGATGAAATTATAAGTTATAAGATGTGCGCAGTAAAAGTGCGCAATGCAAAACTGCGGAATTACCTTAATACGTTTTGAGAAAAAACCCTACTAAATGTAGTAAATTTAAAGCATATGTTAAAAAAGAGTTTCAAGATAAAGTTTGTTATTCATGTAGTGCCCGAAATGCCCAGTGATGAAAGTAGGAAATCTAAAGTTAATCCAAAGAGACAAAAATTGGCGGAGTTAGCAGCAACCCTCAAATCGTCAAACAAGAGAGGTGAGAGGGCAAGGAAAAGAAAAGAACGCGAGAACACGAGCAGTAAGAAAGACAAAAAAAGAAAGAAGAGGAAAAGTGTAGATGGTGATCATGATGATGGGTCTTCTCATGGCAATAGGTCTGTTACCTTTTTCATGCCAAATGACACTTGCTAAATTCAATGCTGCATGTAAACCAATTTGGAGTTGCGATTTTAGGAGTTGCAGTAGGACCGTAGTTTTACACGCTGGTTTTACACAACGGCGGGGTGAAGTAAGAGCAGGGCGAAAATTGAAATTATTTGGAGTGCTTATATGAGATCAGATGGAAAACCATATTTATTTAAGCTTCTTAATCTAAGCTTCACAATCCTTAATCTTTATTGATCCTGACCGTATCACACTCCAGCGAGGATTGCTCAGTCGGAAGAGCATTGATATGGAAATGCATATATGTCATTATAGAGTGTGCGTCACAGGTTAAGTCAACTTATGAGTGGTATGGTTTCAGGAAAACTGGACGGACTGTTGCGGTACTGGAAGTTGACGCACAAGCGGCCCAATTTCATGGTGGATGATCAGGAGTTGCGGGTTTTAACGGCTTTTAAACAAATCTTATATTCAACCAAAACTATTTTAAAAACATTCTTAAATTAGTCAAATAACAACACTTTAACAATAAAATATAGTTGACATGATAGTATGCCTTTACATTCTCTTAATTACTCCATAAGCTCGTTTAGAGCGCATGTAGAAGCATTATACTATCATGTCAACTATATTTTATTGTTAAAGTGTTACTGCATGTATTTGACTAATTTAAGAATGTTTCTTAAATAGTTTTGGACTTTTCGTTGAGTATAAGGTTTGTTTATAAAAGCCGTTAAAATCCGCAACTCCTGATCATCCACCCTAAAATTGGGCCGCCTGTGGTTGACGGCAGACGTGGGACTCCACCTCAGCAAAACATCACCCCCGGTCTAGCGATCTATAGGTCTCTTCGACCTACTTACTACAACCATCAGCGTGACTCAGTTTGGAAAAAAAATATTTCCTTTACACTCCCCTGTTTGGAGATAGTCGCCTCGGTAAAGCTAGCGGGATGACCGGTCTGAGCAATTTTGTACCAAATAATAGCGACATTGCTATCCCCAAACGAAATTGTCTCAACTCTTCGTCCTGGTTTCGTGTAAATGGAGATTTGCGTTAACGTTGGCTAAAATTGTTGTGTAATGAAAATGTATGTATACATGTACTTTCAGTGATGGAGAATCTGACGTTGAAGAAAATGAAGAAAGCAGAGAACCGCGGGCAAAGAAGACACCGAAACGAAAGAGAGTGAGAATGCAAGATAGTGATGAGAGTGACGAAGATGCTCTGCATATACACATTGAAGAAAATGGAGGAGAAAATCACGATGATCATGGTAGTATGGAGGATGAAGAAATAATTACCGAGCAGGAGACGGGGCACGATGTCGAAAAGAAGAGGGGTCAGCCCCAGGGATTAGAGACTGACAGTGAGGACAGTGATGATGAACATGTTCTTAGGAATGGTGGTCGGCCTGAGGGACAAGAAGAGGACGAGAGTGATAACAGTGGTGAAGAAGGAAATGCTGGTAGAAAGAGGGGTCGGTCTGAGGATGAAGAAAGTGAAAGTAGTGATGATGATGATTTGGATATACCTCTGATACGTACAAAGAGAGCAAGACAAGCTGTGCTGGATGACGATGATGATGACGAATAGGTGAATTTTACTTTGGAGTAATTCAACGTTATCTTCGCCGGTTCTGACCGCGCAGTGATTGTGGCACACAGATCTCAAAGGTAAACTGTATAGCACAACCCATTGTATTAGTGTACAAAATTAAGCTAGTTAAATGTTGTTAGATTACTTTGACATATATAGAGTATCTCACTAATAAATATCCGGCATATTAGAAAGAATACAAAATGGAAATAGAAATCCTTCATAGTGCTACACACAAGCGAAAATTATCTGACATTTATCACAAATCGCGTATTGGTGGGAAACTAGTGAATGTATTAATACTTGATAAAAAAAATTTCCAACAAGGGTGGACGGATTAAGCTTGATATTAATTAATTGTGTTCATTCATGCAAGAACCTAGTTTCCGTGTAATGTTTATTGTATAAATGTAACAATTTAATGTATAGCTGTTTTAACTGTAGTAACTTCTTGTACGATGGTTTCTATAATCTTTTACTTCTGTTAGAAAGATGATGTAATACATCAAATCCGACTATAAAGACAGATATCCAGTCCGCGCAATTAGTTCCGTCCGAGGCGAAGCGGATGACTGAATTAATTGCAAGGACTGTATATCTGGTCTCTGAGGTCTCATCATGTGAGCAAAATAAAGTAATATCGTTCGCCAATTTACTCAATAACAAATAAAGAGTCACAGCAACAACGGACCACAATCGATTACATGTTTTAATCGCATCACGAATTTCATGCTCAATTTTTTTCGGAGAAAAGTGAAATCCTCACTTCTTCTCGAAGTAGCCGATACAAAAAGGAGACTTATCACAAACCTGTAACAAGTACACTTCTATTATTGTAATGATAGACCTATAATCGGCTATCGCATGTCACTGTCCGCTGTCACCAGTACACCTTTCCAGAAAGTACTCAGTCTTGGCTGTATAGAGCCTGGTTTCTGTAATTGCATTGGGTTTAGAGTACTTTGTCTTGGTGACGACACATTACGAAAACATACAGTTATATTAGATAAGATACTAGAACCTTTTATACCCATTCCCAAAAACGAGACTATAGGCCAGGCTAATTGCTTTCCGGAAGGGTCTATTTACTCGGCATACATAATCTAAATGCTTGCATGGTTACCTTTGTTCCATTCTATGCTTACATTTTTAGGACAATAATAACTATACATACTACGAGTATCCGAAATGGAAATTAGATGTCAATGAGCATAATAAACATGCGACAGCCGATTAAGTTTATAGACCCATTGCACTGGCCACTGACGTCACAAATCCTTAAAGTGTCCTCCAGATGCTCCCTAACAATATCTGTTCGGGTACAACAACCACTACAGCGCAAAAATTAACCATTTTAATACAAAATTATTATAAAATTTCACAAAATTTGCTTTGTTTACAAAAGTTATATTATGCATAGATTGCTAATTTGTTCTCCAGATGCATCATCACCGGCGCTGTAACGTCAAGTGCAATGGGTCTATTGGTATGTGCTCTTCAGTCATATACTATTCCTCGACAAAAATGTATAAGATTATATTGATAAGAGAGAAACGTATATTAATTAATTATATTCACAAAAAGCAGTTTTATTCGACTAGGAACCTGCTGAATATTCTTGTAATAATTTTACAACAGCGCTTCGTCCAGATAGTTTATTTGCTTTCCCTTGGAAGCGGCCTTTCTTCCCTCCTCCTTTACCTTCCAATAATTCAGCAACCCTAAAATAGAACAAATTATTGGCTCAGGGGCATTTTATATCAGATCAGCTAGCCGGGCTGACTAATTAACCCAGAGAATTAACCGCAATATTGGTTTAGATCAGGGTCTTAGCTAGAAGGCCGTGTTATCGCGGCCAAAAATGGAAAAACACGGCTAGATGAAATGAAGGCGGCTTCATTATTTATTTTTGGCCGTGCATGCATGCATGCATGCATGCATGTAGGTTCATAAAATTAGGTGTTACTACACTAGGTGTTGCTACTTACAACATACAGAATTTCTTTGTAAAATCTACTGTAGTTGTTGAAATTGGTAAAAGTGATCCGTGATGTTTTAATGTTTTGATGGATAATGGGCACCGTATGGATGTTAAAATGGCTTCAAATGCCCCCAAGAGTGTCTAAAATAACTTATTATGTCGGTGCGAAATATGAGTGTATATGCTCGCCTTGTATCTGATTGAAAAGCATAGAAAAACCACAGGTGTAATCTATTGTTGGCGAACATAACTGGAATCGTGTTTTTTTGCTATCCAAGGCAATTGACATGGGCACACCCTGGAAATTTAGAAACATGCCCAAGATATAAAATGCTAGCTAAGATACTGGTTTAGATTAGGAGTAAACTCGTCTTTAAGTTAATTAAGCCAAATCTTCTATCGAAAAGGAAAGAGTTTCGTGAGACGAATCATTCCGGATATAAACAGCACCTAAACCTAACAATCATCTTACCATCCCAGGCAGGGGTATTTATCTCGCTTATTTGATTGAATTGTTGCTGACGTATAATAAAATCATCGGTGAACGCGTAAAAGACGGAATGGCATACGAACACAAATTTCGAGACATTTACTGACCCCTAACCAATTTTTCATGCCATTCTGTACGGCCATTCCGACTTACATGCATTCACCGTAAAATCATAACTGGTACTCACTTAGAGCCAAGCTGTGCAACTGCAGTTTCCGGCCCGGCAAGGAGGAACTGTCCTGAACCTTTGGCAGCGCCACAAGTAATAAATAACAAGATGTCCTGTAGGTAATAGGAAATATGTTTGTTGCCATTAATTTAAGACCTTCGTGCAGGGTGGCTGATAAGAATGCACGATAGTTTGACCTCGAAAAAAGTGGGACATACACGCTGATTGGTATAGTGGGAATTCAGCTCTATTACCCTGGTTCGATTCAAGCAATATATGCAGCAACCTCGTTCCCACGTGACCAGCCCCAACCAGGGTCTTTCCTGAACAAGAGGGAAGAGCCTGGAAACGAGGTTGTATATGCAGTAGTCTGGTCAAAATTCCGCCATAATGTTGGAAGAGTGCTTAGAGATTCTATCGCGGTTTCTCCTTAGGAAGTCACCTCCCGGTTTTCACCGCCACCACTAAAGGTGCCCTTTCTACAACTACATCTCTGTAGAGAACAGGATTGATACGTTTTAATGGTAATACCTGATCCTTTAGCTCATTAGCAATAGTATTCATGTATTCCATATCGGCATCATCTCTTTAAAGATAGAAACAAATTATCGCTAGCTTGCTTGCAGACATACTTTACTACATATTAGGTAACTTCTTCATACAGGCAACTCTAGGAATTTAGTGAATATTGCTTTTCGCTGTCTGACCGAAAATACCGCATAGTTAAAAAATATCCAGCCGGATGCAGGATGTTCACATGAGGTTCAGGCCTTCTTTTCTAGGACAAATAATAATTTGAGTTGCTCATAAAGCCTAGTTCTCATTCATCGCAAACTGTCACCGACGATCGGCGACGCTTATCGCCGATACTCGCCGAGCGCGAATGCACGAAAGTTCTCATACATCGGTGATCGTAGCAGATGACAGCCAATGTGTTTCGAAATTTCCCACCAAGGCACAAAATTGCCCCATTCAACGTAAAGTTCATGATTTCTGTCAAACTTCAGTTGATTATTTCCTTGCTTGTTGAGGAAAAAACAACTTTTACTCATTTCTCATAGATTTTCCAAGCAGATGGCAGTCGGCGATGGTCGCAAGAAACAAACTTTTTTGTTTCCTGCGATGTCATCGCCGATGGTCGGCGACGATTACGGACAATCGGCGATATAATTTTTGATGCGTTCTCATAAATCGCAAGCCGTCGCCGACGGTTTACGATGAATGAGAACTAGGCTTAAAGTAGGGATGTACATCATGTATATTTTGACTTGAAATGATGGGAAAAGACATCAGCCTAACATTGGTAGCATGCATAGTTGCAGAACCGTTTGGTCAAAGTTCAAAAGCCAAATTGACTTTTGCCAAATTTTGAAATATTTGAAAATATCCGGCCGGATACCAATCTCGAACCCAAAATCATCGGTTAAGAGGGGGCGGGGACGAGATTGGTCGGATACCATATTATCTACTGCACTGGCCGGCTACGACATCTGCATGGGGCGCATTCCCTTTTCACCGGATACGTCGAACATGGCCCATGGGAATACCCTCTCATACACTGTATATAAGAAAATAAAATATGGAATAATAAACTGTACAGTAAATACTATGTCGTATGGCAATTAGGTAATGTCTCACCTGTGAATGCAGACATATGGTTCCTTTTTGTCCCCTGATTTAATTTTGTATGCTTCGAGTAACGCTAACTCTCGCAGTTGCGATCTATTAACCTAAATAGAAGATGGAAAATTCTACACTTAATCTTCGTATAGATGGAAACTTTTTCGAAAAACTTGTATATAGTTTACATATCTAACACCTAATCGGGAGCAGCAGGGGAAATGCAACTATACAGGCTCTCCGGCAAGACCCGAATCTGTATGGTACAGCGCTGACCACTGCATGAGCTACTGAGTCCAGTTCTCAATAGCAATCTTCAACGGTGTGCTGAACTCTGTGAGACTCGCTGTGAGACACCCAAAATTTGTTCTATACGGGTATATTGAATAACCAAGACTGACCTTATTGGCGGCTTTCAGTGACTTCTGTAATTTATCAACCATCGTAACATGTTCGTCAGGACCACAACTACAGAGAAAACAATTATTCAGAAGTTTGCAGACTACACGCGTAAAAATTGAGAAAATCAACAACTTGTTCCAGGTTGATATCAACAGGCGTGAACAAGGTTGTGCGGCCCACTATGAACAGTATTGTCAACATGTTGTTACAGCATTGTTCAACTGTAACAACTTCGAAGAACATGGTTGACAATTACTTGTTCATAGTTGGCCGCACAACATTGTTCACGCCTGTTGATATCAACTTGGAACAACCTGTGCGTTTTTAGCCGTGTAGAATTGTTTGCTCCAGGTCAGTTACTCAAAGATTAATAATTAAGAAATTATCGACCAACCTTAAAATCTTTGTAAGACCTTTTTCGTTATCCAAGGCTTTATGGGTAAAATCCAAAACTCTTTTTCCAGCCAGGAAAAACAATCGAAGCAATCCTTTTGTCGGCTCAGTATGAAGAAGTTTTATCATCTAAAACATTTACAATTAGACTCTTCATTACCGTAAGGCAATATGGAAACAGAGATACTTACTAAGGCTTGTTCACAATAGGCAATTCCAGCTTTTAGTTTATGCATGCAGGGGATGATGGGAAGTAAGGTATTGCTGATTATGCTGAAAAAATAAAAATGGTGGCCGTGTAAACACGGAGTGATAGCTTATACTTGTAAATTTCGGTTGTTTCGGCAGTTTTTATTGAAATTTTTCAGCATAATCAGCAATGGATACATTACTTCCCATCATCCCCTACACGCATAAATTAAAAGCTGGAATTGCCTATTAGACTCTTCATTATTACAAGGCAATAAGGAAATAGAGGTACTTGATAGAGGGCTTTGTTCACACGGGCTCGGATTGCCGAGAACTCTAGCGACTGGGATCCGAGCCTGTATACACACATGCCGAATGTCCGACCGTTATTTCAAGGTCCAGAACGCTTCCAGTTTCTTTTCTTCTGTAGTTACAATGGGCGATTAAGGGATAGACTCACTGGAACTTTCGGGAGAACTGGTTAGAAATGAGAAAATAAGTTTCGTTTAGTTTAGTTCAAGAAAGTGTATTACCTGTAAATCACTCAGATTACGAACATGTGTACCACAGCACATATTCATTTCGAGACCTGGAAACGTAAAACAAGAACAGGGTGATAAGTGCACGTATATGAATGAATTTTGAAACAACGGTGGCGTTTTGAAACAAACTAGGTCAGTAGGTGTTCAGCAGTGGTGAAGGCATCCTGACAATTTTATCATGCTATGCAAATTTTAAATCATCATTATTTCATTCAGAAATTATAATTGTTTTTACGATCTATGAACACGGAAATATTTAGCCCGCGTGCAGGCCCAAGGGAAGAATAGTGGGCCTGCAAGCAAGGCCTGGTATTTTGTACTTTCCGCGTTCGCCCACGAACGCGGCATTCTGATTGGCTGTTTGCTGTTGGATTCTATAATTAGATCAGTGATGCATCACAAAGGCTCTCGATAAGCTTAAAATTCGAAAATTGATCACTTTTTACCATTGAACTAAAAATAACTGGAACGCTACGTTCAGTAAACTGCGCATGCAAATTTTGAAGCCAAAATTTGACTCCCATGAAGCCAGTTTTGACTCCCAGACACGCACTTCCACGCGTGTTTCTACTGCGCGATTTACTCGCGAGACAATGCAGGGGGCGCTCGAAGCATGCCATTTTGAATGTTTTCATGGCAGGATGCAAATCGAAAGGGAAACGGGCCTTTTCAGTTTAAAACGGGCCTTTTAAAGCCTGTGTACGACCTTGTAGAATTTAGCTTCAAATTTCCGCTTGAACGTAGCGTTCCAGTTATTTTTAGTTCAATGCTTTTTACCATTGAACTAAAAATAACTGGAACGCTACGTTCAGTAAACTGCGCATGCAAATTTTGAAGCTAAAATTTGACTCCCATGAAGCCAGTTTTGACTCCCAGACACGCACTTCCACGCGTGTTTCTACTGCGCGATTTACTCGCGAGACAATGCAGGGGGCGATCGAAGCATGCCGTTTTGAACGTTTTCATGGCAAGATGCGAATCGAAAGGGAAACGGGCCTTTTATTTTAAATCGGGCCTTTTAAAGCCTGTGTACGACCCTGTATAATTTAGCTTCAAACTTCCGCTTGAACGTAGCGTTCCAGTTATTTTTAGTTCAATGCTTTTTACTCGCTGGGGCACCTGTGCCCTGGCGAGTATAGGTTTCGGCCTGGGTTTCGGCTCTGATTTTTCTCCGATTGATAGCCACAAAATAGAATACTAATGAGCTACCTACTTTTACCCAAATTATCCATTTGGCTCCTGCCAATTTTTACCCAAATTATCCATAAATAACCCTAAGTATTGAGAAAAATTCAAGAATATTACTAAAAAAGCCAAAGCTGCTGTTTATTTTAACCAGTATGAACATGTTTACGTTCTTTTAAAACTGACATTTTACTGCACTGAGGATTCAACGACAAGAAGAATGAATTTGGAGATGTGTTAATGCCAAATAAATCCTGTTAAGCGGTCAAAATGACATCTTATAGCCCGACAAAAATAGAAATACAAAGTAAGAGACAGCTATCGCCGATGGCGATGCACAGGAACAATTGTATGAAATATAAACTCGATATAAGACTGCTAATTCAGTGCTAACTATGCTTTTGTAAGAACAGAGTAGACCAGACACAGTACTAACTAAATGCGGTGCTTTACAAATAAAACTTTCATGCGATTCCGCCTACAAACTGTGCTATATGTAAAGGTTATATTTTATCGTATTCGCTACATTCCTCCTGTCGGCGGACAGTTCCACACGCATGGTTAATACTTCGCTTTAAAACCTTCAAAATAAACAATTGTCGGATCAAAATACTATCAAAATGAAGATAAAAGTGAGACGAATCCATTCGTATACGGCTGAAAAGGAGAAAACCAACGATACGAAAGTTATCAAGTAGCAAACGTACTGCATTTTTAAATAGCTGAATAATATAAATTTTGAGAGCGATTTGTGACATTTGTCAACAATACAATTTCGCTTGACTTTCAAAGGTCATATATCGCCAGAATACTGCTGTTCAGTAATGAATTTGGTATCCTAGGTACAATTTCGTACGCTGATTCGAACGATGGTATTTTTTTCCTTGTTGGGTCACTTGGATGCATAATAAACCAGAGATAGTCGGTCTCAGTCAGCGATTTAGACGGGCAAGGAATTTTCGGAACAAACTCCTCCCCCCAAACCGTCTGCTGTCAGGTAGCGGTGCCCAACTTGACACATCGGTGGGACACCGCAATTTTGCAACAGGGGACAGATCACAATTAACTCTTCAATTGGCCATATGCATGATTGTAGTACCAATGTACCATCACTGTGATCTGACAAGTGTATCACTATAGGCAGCCCATTAGCTTTTGACCGCTTGCGCTGAGAGACGGACTTGAACCAAGTCTACCCATTAGCCCAAGCGAGTCAACGCTCTTTCGAGCGTCTTGTTT